CATGGCCCTATGGATGTTTCTAAAGATGCGACCATGGAATCCCAGTACTGTGTACATGTTCCACCTTGCACTGTCAGACTTTCTCTATGTCATCTCCCTGCCCACACTCATATACTACTACGCCAACCGCAACCACTGGCCGTTTGGAGTAGCCGCATGCAAAATTGTGAGATTCCTATTCTATGCAAACTTGTACTGCAGCATCCTCTTCCTCACTTGCATCAGTGTGCACCGCTACCTGGGTATTTGTCACCCCATCAAATCTTTGACTCTCATAAAGCCCCGTCATGCCCATCTGGTATGTGGAATGGTCTGGGCAGTAGTCACTGTGTGCCTCGTGCCAAATCTGATTTTTGTTACTACTTCCAGGCGGGGCAATGATACGCTTTGTCATGACACAACCAGCCAGGATGCCTTCAACGAGTATGTGGACTACAGCTCTGTCGTCATGGTGCTTCTGTTTGGGGTCCCCTTCACTGTCATTGTGGTGTGCTACTGCCTCATGGCCAGGTCACTTTGCAGACCCCGAGTGGGATTATCTGCTAGCCAACAAGGAAATGTCTCTCGTCAGAAGTCTATTAAACTAATTATAATTGTGCTGGTGGTCTTTGCTGTCAGCTTTGTTCCCTTTCACATAACAAGGACCCTTTACTACACCTCCCGTGTGCTGGATGCCAACTGTGAATTCCTCAATATTGTCAACTTCACGTACAAGATCACGAGACCATTAGCCAGTGTCAACAGTTGCATAGACCCAATTGTATATTTTCTGGCAGGTGACCGCTACCGCTCCAAACTCATGACTGTTCTGACAGGAAAAAGACAAACCCTAAGTAGCCAGGTCCAACAGCAGAGTCAAATGCAACCACAAAACAATATTGCTATGAACTCACAAAATACAATGGACAAGGAGGCAGCGACAATGGCGAGCTAGACTTACACCTTATTTTTATGATGCATTTTTATAACATAATATAGCCATTTGCACTGAACTACTATGGAACATGTATTTTATTTATAACAATTATTTAACACATTTCTCACATCTCTAGCTAGTGTTTATATTAATACTTTTACATTATAATGAGAAAGACTTTTACATGAGCTGGTTTAAATCCTGTCTATAAGCAAACATATAAACACTGTATTATGCTTCCTGCTTCTTCTAAGATTTTGGTGTTTCCCAGAAAGCTCGGCTCCAGGCCCCAGGTGTTTTTGTTCTTCACCTCTGACAGCTGATCAGTTCAGCATATTTTCTTTTTCAGTCAAGTGTTTCCCTTTTCTCTTTTGCCTTTGGGGCCAGCTATTTTTTGTAATTTGTTATCTGACTTTTTGCATAATTTGAAAATGTGTAATGATCTGTTTGCATTGTAGATTCCCACTGAACATTTCAAAACTATGAATGAACACATATTGAATGTAATAAACAAAAAATAAACTCAAAATAACTCACTAATGAAATAACTTATTTTAGATTTTTAAAAATATCCATCCTTTGCTTTGATCACTGGTTTGCACTCTTGGCATTCCTTGACCCTGGATGTGACCCTGGCACGCCTGTGAAGTGAAAACCATTTCAGGGAACATTGTTTAACTTTTTTTTTTCTTTGCTACATAATTCCACTTATATGGGATCATATATCAGTGTTTCTTCAAAATCATATCAGTGTTTCATCCAAACCGTAGTGTATATTTTGTATAATATATACCAAATTAACAAAGAGACTTTGTCCAGATCATAAACTTGGCCCATAGAAAACACTTGATTTGGAAACTCTACAAAGAGTGTTTTTTCTTTAGCCTAGTGTAATAAGAATGAAGTGTTCTTCTAATAGGCTTTGGAAGTATTTTGTCTTCATTTGTGACCATCAAACATCTATTCTTATCATTAAATAACAACATACACTTGTCGTATATGGCTGAATGTCTTAATCGTGAAATTAAGACAAATGTCGCATTAAAATATGTAATTTATTATTTATAAATACCACTGCAAAATCCCCATTTACCTCATTCTGAGTTGTAGTGTTCCAATAGCTCACTGGTGCCACCTTGTGGAGGAACTTCGGCGGAAGTCAAAGAGGTTGCACTCTACGCAGAAAACAACCCGTGCAAAAGGCCTTTCCTGTAAGTATTCCCCCACCCCCACCCCCCTTTATTTATTGCATGTTGATATGTATTTTCTAATGATGGCGTCCATGCTCAACCAGTTCAATGTGTGGCCTACAACCCTCGGCTACACAATAAAACATCCTAAAGCCAGATAACGGTTGCTTTATCAGAGAAATCTAAAAAAACGGATTGTAAATAAAACTTAAAAATGTTTTATGTAGGCCTACGAGTGTAAAATAAAAACAATCTGTCTTTTTTCTAAAAACCTATAATATGTGCGTCTCTGATATTTCACAGACAGTACTGACAAAGAATTCTTCATAAGGTGACACTGCTCAAGGACACTGCCCAGCCCCAGCAAACAACATGCACATAAGGCAAGGTTTTTTCAGATGAGCAGGCGCCTAATATGACTGATTAGCTACGATTTAAGCAAATTCATTGCTAATAAATGTTGTGTCCCTCGTTTCTCTCTGCTAGAGATTTTTATAAACCTCATTACAACAGACATGATCATCTAACTTGACTGAGCCGACATTAACATGATGGAGCAAATAAATCCACCTGTAATCTTAAAGTGCAAACATGACATGGGTTATGGACATATATCGCATTATCGCATTTATTTATTCATTCATGTCTCATGAGTGTCATGTCTGAGTTGATATTTTAGGGTGATAGTGGAGTTCACTAATCCACTTGTAACCCCTGAACTTTTGTCAATTTAAAATGTGTCGGAGAATACATAAAAAAATAACATGAAATGTAGTAATGTCTGGTATTTTGACACCACTGTGCTGCTTGTAGCCTGGTCTTTTTGTGGCATTGGTTTAAGGCTCGTATAAAGGTAAAATGAAGGAACAGAGAAGGTGGAGGAAGATGGATAGAAACACTGGAGGAGAGGACAGAGGTGACAGGAGGTGATAGTGAGCGCTGACAACACTGTCAATTACTTTAATAGTTTGAAGTGAAATAATAAAAAAAAAAAGAAAAAAGAAGTTTTTGAAAATATGCAAGCTACAACCTCTTGTTATGATAGATAATAAAACACACCACCTTTTAAATGAAATGAAATTATTATTATTATTATTATTATTATTATTATTATTATTATTATTATTATTATTATTATTATTGTTTGTTGTTGTTGTTATTGTTATTATTATTATTATTATTATTATTTTAGAAATCTGACTTTTCAATAGTAAAGGTTTTTAAAGTAAGAAGAAACAAGACCAACTAATTTCATATGAGCTTGAATGGCACACATGTCAATATCTCTTATTACACAGACAAGAACTTAAAATTCTTGATGGACTGGTACAATAACAAAGTATTATGTAAGACATATTTTTCATTGCATGTGCTAAATATTTTTTTCTCTACATTTCCATTCTCTATAAAGACTCATGTACTATGACAAATGATTTTAAATATCTTTGTCTAAAATAATTTTGACAGGCTTCCCATAAATTTAAAAACACGTTTACACATGCATTATTGTGAAACAAATAAAACACAGATTACTTTTATATAATAATTAATAATTTTCTGTAAAAATTATCTAGACTTAAATATTTTCAAACACAGGACAGATTTACTTCTAAATGTTGGACTTCGCAGAAAATATTGATTTACAGTTAAATACACCCACGCTGCACCTTAAAGTGATGCATCTGTTGAGACTTGAACATTTTTGTGTTTCTCTTGTTTGCCAAATTATAAGGCAGAGACGAGGGATTTCAAGGACGCACGGACTTCAATTTAATCGAAGAGGCTGCGAGTGGAGTGGAAGAGTGACACACAGAGGAGAGAAGTTCATTATTCTGCTGAAAAGGAAACCAATGGCTTTCACCGTTGCTATGGAGACGGCCTTTCTTCAGCAGTCAGACCTATGATAAGGTACTTCACAGCATTAAGCACAATTATTGCAAGGTAAAAAGGGGAAATATTGCTTGCCAATGCTAATAGATGTTAGATATTGATTGGCTTGAAGATTTGTGGGAATGGGTGCCCCTAGCTGCTACACCTGCTGGGGCAAGGTTTGATCAAATCTGTGCTAGATGAAGAAAGATGGGCCTTTGTCATGTAAGGTTAAAAGTTAGTTTGAGCTTTAAACTGAATAAAGTGTAGAAAATGTGACACGAGAGACAAGTATTATTATACAGTATTGATGTTATATTTCAATACAGCAAAACATTTTATATAAGAAATGTACATGGTCCTATTGTCTCATTATTCCTGATAGCTATAATACTGTTTTTTCATCATTAGCATGCTCATAGTTATTTTGTTGCCTAGTGACCCTGCTCGTGCTCTTACACAAAAGCAGATTGGCCTTGGCAGCAGCGAGGTCACCACCCTACACCACTCCCGCTGTTGGGGGTGCTGTGAGTTCGCTGCTGGGTGTGTGGTTGGTTGGAGGATTAGCATAGAGCAGATCCAGTGTTCATGTAGGATTGGGTGGTGGTGGGGGGCAAATTGTTTTAACCCCTATTACAGCAACCGCACGGCGCTTCTCTTATCTAGGCCTCTGCAGCCACTCATTAATATTCCCTACATATGGCACTGCTTTCTGTATCATTGTCTATTAATGGGAGGGATAATCGCTCATTCAATTATCAGGCAGTCAGCAAAAGACCAACCGTGCCTGTGCAGCTCTGGTTCACACACAGTGGCACAGCCCGAAACAGAGGTGTGCCAATGAGAAGGTGAGAGCGATAGCAGGGATTACAACATATTAGCTGCTTTAATAAGGCGGCCAGCACCACCCATGCAGAGTGAAAATATGGGTCTGTTGGCTATAATAAACAGGCATAGCCACAAAATATATTTTTCTAAGTTTGACCTCAAAGTATTAAAAGTAACACACATTAACTTCTTTACATCATGGCCATCATTTATGTGTAAAGGTTATGTATTTGTATACTCAGGTCCAGGCCAAAGGCTCTATAAGTGGCTGAAGTAAGTGTGACCCCCGGCGTCCCCGGGCCATGGCTCTGTGTGATGATCAAATGTGGCATTGATCCCTGTTGAGCTGTGCTTTGTAGCTGCAGGACCTGAGCTGTGTGTCTGCCTGCTGCTGGGGCCTTGGCCTGGATATAAGGGCTACTGATAATGGTTTGACCTATGGCTATTTTGACCTGGAAGGTCCTTGTTGAGTCAACATGAACAGCCTCACAATGAAAGAGAGGCAGAGTTGGACTAAGGCTGTGGTGTTCCCGAGTTTCTAGACGAGGAACTGCTACAAGCGGGGGTGCACTGGGAGAGTGTGAAAGAGATAGGAGGTGAAATGTTAACAAAATCTTATAAAATATGTAGTTTGATAAATTTTCGCATTCTGAATGAACCGGAGGCGGCTGCAGCTATGGAGGTCCTTTGTTGGAGGTCCCATTTTCTCTGGCAGAGCAGCACGCTCACAGGGTCAGCGAAGTTACGAAAGTAATTAAAGCTTGGTGATTCACTGCCTGCTGCACAGAAAAGAAAGCAAGCTGTCATTCTGATTTAGAAAAATAAATTACAATTTTAATAATGGGGGCGGATGGGGGTGCGAGAACATCTAGAGCTGAGCAGGGTTGGGGGGAGGCGGTGTGGGCATGTTGGATGGGAGGAGGGTCGAGGGGGTTGCTGGCTGCCTACTTATCAATAGTTGCAATTTTTTGAAACCGCATCGGTAGTACATTGCGAGAGCACAAGTGCCCTTAAAAAAAGAAAACCCTGGAACATTAACATACTGATTTCATGCGCATGGCAAAGGGCCTGAGCCAATATCAGAGAGGACTCAGCAGTCCTATTGTCTGCTGGGACTCTGGTCCCCTCTGATATGAAAATTCAATTATTTTATAACTAGATCTGGCGCTGCGTTTTGACAGTCACCGTTAGCGCCTTGCCAGCTGCATCAGTGTGGGGGACCAGAGGCTCCTGATAGCGAGAGGGAGGCCTTTCAGACATTGACATGTTTTTGGGGGACAAGATTGCCTAAATGTGTTGCATTTAGGGGCTGAAAGTTAATCTAATGCACCACCATTATCTCACTCAGGTAATTCCAATACCAGCCTCAATCTATGTTTACGCTCTTGCACACACCCGCATACTCGCACATCCATTCATTCTTCAGCACTTTGAATCTGATTCCCAGGCTTTCTGCATCCAAACAGGTTATGTATTTATTTATTTCCTGGCAGTGCACATTCTCGGGCCCTGGAAACTATATAAAATGGAAGTTGTTTTCTAAGAGGCATCAGCAGTTTTGAGGAAATGATTCTGTAGAAAGACACACAAGAAATAGGAAAAAGTACTCAATATATAGACTATTCAAATGGAACAGTTTTATGT